ATATTGAGGAGTGGGTTTGCATGTATGCTCCAAGTGAAATAAAATGTAAAAACAATGAAAAAAAACAGCGTACTATTATTGAAAGTTGACTTGAAGAACACAAATTTATTAAACTATAACAAAATCAAACAGATATTTTGATAGCTCCTGCTATTTTTATCAACGTTAAAGTAAGAAAACTTTGGAGATCTTGCACATACATAAAGAATAATAAATCGCATTAACAAATCCAATTGGTTCTTAATGATAATAATAATAATAAATATGATTTATATAGTGCACATATCCACTTTAGAAAGTCCTCAATTGTGCTAAAATTGAGAAATACATCAATAAAGCAAAACTTAAGGAAATGGTGGTATTAAAAAAAATGTACATAACAAAAAAAACTGATTAAAGATGTATTACAAAAACAATTATATATGGCCCATATGAAACCAGGACCTTCAGATTATAATTAAAAAAATTAGCTAAAGGTTTATTCATGTTATCCCATCAAGCGTCTTGTATTACACTAGATTTCATCATAAAGTTTAATATCTGTAAATGAATATCAACTTAACTACAGTCCTTTATTGTACATTAAAGTAACATTTTTTGTGGCATCTTGAATTTCTTTTTCTAGCTTAGAAGTGGCTATCTGTAAGAAAAAAAAACAAGATTATAGGGAACAACATCAATATATAAAAGTAACACATCATTAGAAAATGAACACAACAACAAAGAATAAACACAAATCATACAATAAGCAGCATCAATATTATTATAAAAGTAATACTTCATCAGAAAATGAACACAACATCAAAGAATAAACATAAATCATATAATAAGCAGCATCAATATTATTATAAAAGTAATACTTCATCAGAAAATGAACACAACATCAAAGAATGAACACAACACCTTAGGCTACATTAAGACATGGGAGATAACCTGGAGCAACTAACGCCAGACATACGTTAATCCATGGTGTAATTAACAAGATGTCAGACTGGGCAATTAATGTAATACTAGCGTAAGTATTCACATGAAATACATAAACTTGTAATTGCACACTTTGTATTTCTTGTTAACATCTGGGCTTTATTATGATTGGTCAAGTCCTGACCAGGTTTAAAATCATTGATGCATAACTATAAGTTAACGCAATGGTGTACACTAATTTGGGTCTGTTGATGGATTATCATACATCAGTGATTGCATGCTAAGTTCACACCGCTCGATTAATGTTATGCTTATGTAACTCATATCTGAGCATAGCCACTGAATGAACACAGAATCATAGAATGAACACAGCATCATAGGTAGACAAGAAATAAAATGTGCAATTAAGAACGAACACAGCATCGCCGAACGGACACAGCATCGCCGAACGGACACAGCATCGCCAAACGGACACACCATCGCCGAACGGACACACCATCGCCGAACGGACACACCATCGCCGAATGGACACAGCATCGCCGAACGGACAGCGCATCGTCGAACGGACACAGCATAGCCGAACGGACACAGCATCGCAGAACGAACACAGCATCGCAGAACTAACACAACATCGCTAAATGAACACAATATCGCAGAATGAACACAGCAACGCAGAATAGCAATGCAGAATGAACACAGCAATGCAGAATGAACACAGCATCGTAAAACGAACACAACATCGTAGAAAGAACACAGCATCGTAGAACGAACACAACATACAATTCAATTTCATAAACATAAGAACTGTTTCAAATTTAATGAAAAAGAACAATTTAATCACTAAAACTTTTCTAAAAGACAACTTTTCGTTTTTGTAACTTTGCCCCATGGTCAAGAGCATGACTGTAGTTGCTACAAAATATTTGTTACCTGTGAAAATTGTGGAAATAAGCTGATGGCCACTGGAAGAGCAAATCCAAATGACAATGTTACAACTGCAGCGTTAACAGCCAACATCCAACGTGGACTATGCTGCAAGAATTTGGTTCTAAAAAAAAATAGGATGCAATAAAATTTCATAAAGATATTCAAATTTACATTTAACAATTGCCATTATATCTATGTTTATCAATCAGTCCTATTATCCTTTCACAAAACAAACTTTTACTATGGGCTATCCCATTTATATTTATCAATTAGCTTTTCAGTCTTTCAACAACTGCTGACTATGGGCATTCCCATTTATGTTTATCAATTAGCTTTTTTAGTCTTTCACTTTCACTGTTTACAATGGGCCATCCCATTTATGTTGCATTATTAGCCATTCACAAGACAACTGTTATTATGACCCATCAAACTCAAGTTTATAAATTAGAATTTATCAATCAAAGTAACATGTTGAACTCACTTTTCAAGGAAAGACATCACAATTGGTGGGATAAGCAGGATGGGTGCTGGAAGAACCATACGAGTGAAAGCTGTCTGTGTCAAGGCCTATCAACAACATCATAAATTATACATCATATTCAATTCACCAGCAAAACTAACCTAGGTTTAAAAGAGTCTCTTTTCAATATTGAAAAACTATTCACTAAACTTATATTGTAATTATTAAGACCGAGACATCCTTACATTATTTTCCTAATCAATTTAGACGTCTCTAGAACCCAGTGTCACCAGAACCCTCACCTTTTTAGCCGCTATTTTAGAGGTTCCTACAACATTGCCCTTATCATCCATAACCTCAATGCCTTCAAATACTTCACCATACCTCATCAAGATGCAGTTACATGTGCTGGCAGTTGCTGAAACAAAATAAACCTTGATGATTATTATACAGTATATCATTATCTACTACCTGTCCCACAATGATGATGATAATAATTATTATACAGTATATCATTATCT